TACAGGGTCAGGGAGAGCTCAGGAAGAATTCATAAGCATCTGAGTGAACCTGAAACCCCGGGTTTGCCTAAATTCTCCAGGGGAAAAGGCAGATAGGAAGGAGCTAGCAGTGGAAAATCAAGGTTACTGACCCTAACAGCTATATTCCCAGGCTTCACCCACCCTTATCCAAATTTCCTAGCAGGAAACTAAACAAATGATTAGGACTTCTTTTTCCTCCCAGTACCCAACTCCCCTTCTCATACTTACTTTCCTCTTTTTCTTCCCTCTTCTTCCTTTCCTGGCCTCTACCTTAAAGAAAGGTCTCAATAAGCAGAAACCCCTCCCCCAGGGCTGTGCCTCCCCCAGGGTGTGCCTCAGCTGTAATGGGCTCTGGCTGGGCTAAGGTCTACTGGAAGGGCTCAATTTCAGAAGCTCCACTACAGCCCAGCAAGTCTGATGGCTTCTCATTCGCCATCACCAGCCTGGACACACAGCCTTCCCCTCACATTCAACCCTCCAGAGGCCAAACACAGGAAAGGCCAGGAAAGCCAGGTCAAGAGTAGCCTCTTGGGACAGAATGAGGCAGCCATTCTACTGTATTCTTAGAAGAAGGAAAAACCAGCATCCTGGGATTGTGGCAAGTGGCAAAAGGGAGAGTTCAGAGCTTCACTCCAGCTATGCGTCCTCACATCTCTCTGGACTGTCCCTCTCAACCCACCACCTTCAGTTTTCCCTCTATAAAATGGTGCTGATATCTACAGTGCAGGATCACTAAAGATCCAGCAAGGAGCCCGGCATACGATAGCTCCTTGACTTAAGGCTGAAATGCTAAGCTTGACACAGTCCAAAGACCTGCAGTGTTGCTTTGGATCGCCTGGACAGCCTTTCTCTTCTCACTCCCCCCCGACTTCCCTTCCAGCTGCTGGCTTCCTGGCTCCCCATCTTCTTTCCTTATACATTCATGAACTGAGGTGAAATGAACTCTGATAGCAGCTGAGTATGTGCTCATATGCCCAGCAGTGGGAGTAAGGATGGGAGGCAATGGCAGGGCCAAAATGAGAGGACCCTAGGCCCCAGGGGAGACTCAAGGTGAACGAGGAGCCACCCCTCCCAGTCCCATGTGGGAGCTGCACTTTCATAAAGCCTTGCTGTACGTGGTTGGGTAGATAAGGGAGGCTGGGGCCATAGGGAGAGGGAGGGTCCCAGGACTTACTCCTCCAGCAAGAAATTGGCCCCCAGGAAATGCCACATGGGCTTCTGAGGTGGTCAAGCCCTTCCTCACCTCCATCCTTAGGATCTTCCTGTATTCCTTCACCAGAAGCCCCTTTTCTGGGGTTTAGAGAATTAGCTATCTGAACAAGGCGAACTCAACTGATTATGGGCTGGGGACTGACACTTTCATTATTACACATGCGTGGGGTGGGGGGTGGGTCTGTGTACAATCCAGCAGTTCTATCTTCCTCCTCAGGCAGATTTCTTTGTGTCTCCTGCACGCACCATCCCTACCTCGAACAACCACCACCACCAACAATTATGTTGTTCTTCCCATGTTTCAGGAACTGTTCTAAAGACCTTATCTGTGAGAGTTCATTGCATTTTCACCACAGTCCTATCGGGTAGATAGTATTATTTATTGCCATTTTAGAGATGAGGAAATCACGGCACAGAGAGGCTAAGTAGCTTCCCCACGGTCACACAGCTAGTTGACAGCAGAAGCAGGTTCAAACCCGAACAGTCTGACCTCAAAGTCAGTGCTTTTTACCTCCAAGGTACATAGCACCCTAAATTCAGAAAGCCTGCAACCCGCAGAGGAACAGCCCCACCCCCAAATTCCTGCCCCAGTATGGGGCAGCTTGCTGAAGTAGGACAGCTACAAGAAGTGAGGGTGGGAGTGACCTTTAAGGAGACTCTGAGGCACTGCTTCAAAGAACCAGCCTGAACAGAGCAGCCCTGGGAAGCAGCCACACAGACACACCAGCCTGGCATGTCAGCAAAGAGGTGGCCGACTTTGAGCTCGGCTGCCTTTTACCCTCACAGTCCACGCGGTGACAAGCTCTGCAAATAGCGGCCAGGGCCACGGGACTGAAGAAGAATCCTCATGTGTGCACAGCTTGGAAAGGACACACACACAGAGAAAGAATAGTCATCCATAGGAGCACTGTCTTTAAATAGAAAGATAGCCTGAAATACACCCTGGGCTTGCGGTGCTCACACACACAGACACACACGGCCAGGGCCACCAGAGTGACTGAACAAATGCCTTGTCTGTGCTGGTGGCAAGGGGAGGAAATCTAGTGCCCCAGCAGCTTCTGACTTTCAGTTCCTATTTAAAATGTCTGAATTGGGAGCATCGACAAGCTCCCAAATTAGCTTTTTAAATAGAAGCTGAGAGTTAAAGGAAAAGCGGCCGTGTCATGGGGGAAAAGCAAGTGAAAATCCCGGCCAGGCTGGGCCAGAGGCAGAGAGGGGGGAGGGGAGGACAGGCTGTGCTGGGAGGATGCTTTGGAAGGCTGGGAGGGGGACCACTGGGAGGGACGGCACTCCTGGGCAGTGGCTCCTCCGGCTGCCTGAGCCGAGGACCTCCTTCCTTGCTATCGCTTGGTCTGTCTGATTTTCCAGGTCACCTGGTTGTAGAAAGGGCTGCTAAGCAGAAACCTCACTGGCCTAGACTAGAAATCCAACTCTTTCATACTTTCTTTGGATCTTAAGACAGAAAGGAGAGAAGACTCTTCAGCTATTTCCCTTCAGGGTTGAGATATGAGCCTGCGAGGAATGGGTGGGGACGAAGGGGAAGGGGTCTGAACAAGTGTCCTCAATTGTCCCATCTGGTGACCTCTCCAGGGGAGAAACGATATCCCCAGCTAACTGTTCCCCAAAGCCTCCAAGCGTTGAGGCAGACCCACCCCCTGTGCTACCCTCAAGATGCAAAACAACGGAGGGAATGTACAGGAGTTCAGACCTGGGCAGAAATAAAATACTGGGTTTTAACTCTTCTGAGCTGAACATAGGGTGGAGGACAGAAGAAAAGTGCCCCTCCTGAGACCTCACCATTCAAGTTCTAAAGTACCTTTTCCCAAGGGTCAGAGCAGCTGAGGTGTGTGGTTATGAGAAAATTAGCTCTTCCCCAGAGGGAAGGGAAGAGGGACGTGGGAGCAATGCCAGGGCCTTCCCTGAATTCTTCCCCTGTCTGCCAGGGAGTGGCAGTGTTGTTAATCATTATTACTGTATGCAAATCCCACACAGCGCTGGGACTCCTGGCAAATGCTAATAGAGCCCACGCCCACTCTGGAAGGGCCAATTGTGCACCTTTCAGAGTTGACACACCGAAGAAGAAAGCGGTGTGAGAGTGAATGCCAGGCTCCAAGCTGCCAGGCGCCCAAAACTGTTCAGACCACAATCACTACACAGCACCCCTTAATCTGGAACAGGGTCGAAGGGTTCTCACAAGGCAGACGCCCCGTTCTGGACAGAGCGAGGTCCTTTTCCAGCTCGAGATCAGATCTAGAACAGCCCTTTCAAGTACACCCTCGCGGTCACCGCACACTTCGCATTTCTCTAGGTCTCTGTCTGGGCATGCACCTCTCCACCCCAAGAATTGTGTTCCTACATGCCAAGCGTTCGCGTCCCCGCGGAGGCACGGAGCTGCCTCACCTCCTAAGCGCGAGGCCGCGATCCGGGATTCCAAGCACAGAGGCTGAAGACACTGGGAAAGGGGGAGCCGCCCTCCGGCCCAGCTGCAGGGACTGCGCCCTCCTAACGCAGTCGCCCTGAGGGTGGGAATCCGGGCCGGACACCCGCCTTGTGGGCACATGCATACCTCCCACTCCTCATCCTGGGTTGACTAGGCACAGGAGTGTAGAGACCCGTGCACTTCAGAGAAGGATCGCGGGACTGGGCCAGCTCCAGGAGGAAGGGGACTAGCTCTCTCGGGTGTGAGAGTTCACGTTCCCAAGTCCAGACTCTCTCGGTTCTGGGCATTGGGAACGGGTGGCGGGACAGGAGCCCGAATCCCCACCTTCCGATAGTACTCTCGCCGGCTCACAAGAGAACGGCTCTTACGTAGAGTAACGGCAGTATATCCCCCCTGAGACCTCTCCAGCCTTGGCGCACGGAGCTAAGCCGTGGGCAAGCCGAGAAGCCTGCGCTGCGGCGGCGGGCTCCACCTTCCTAGGTAGCCGGGCTTGGCTTCAAGCCGTGCTGCAGCCGGGTGGACAGTCGGTAAGAAAGAAACACCCAGTTAGGTGCACATACCCCACGCGCGCACACGCTGGCGCTCCCTGCCACCTCTTCCCAGGTCCCCATCCACAGACGCCTCCGAACTCGCGCTCACACCTCACTCCCCGCTCCTCCCCCACCCAAGCCAAGCTCACCTTGCCACGCTCCCCCCGTGCCCACCCTCGCCGGCACAGACGCTCACACCCGCGTCGGTACACTCCGCCACCTCCAGGCACACCCTAGGATTCCTCCACTCGCCCGGGGAGACGCACCAGGCTCTGCCTCCTCTCCCCACCCCCAGCTCACGCGCGCGCCCCTCTCTCTCTCTCTCTCACACACACACACACAGAGACACACACACACAGACACAGACACACACACTCACACCCTCGCGCGCGGAGTCACTCCCCCTCGCACGCCCTCGCCCTGGGCACCCTCCCGCGGCGAGACTCCGGGTCCTCCTCCTCTCTCGCTCCGCTGCCTGGCGACTCGGCGCTCTCTGGCCCGGCCTGGGGCCGCTCGGCCCGCGGGGATCGGTAGGGAGCGGAGGGCGCTGCCTCACCGCCTCCCCCGGACTCTGCCCTCCGCCCCGCCCGCGCCGCGCCCCCACAGCCTCCCACCTCGGGAGGGGGACCTTGGGAGAGACAGCCCCCGGCCGGCCGGGCTCCGGTCCGCGCGGCGCCGCCAGCGGCGGGGGCAGGGAGCGAGCGAGAGAGCCCGCGAGCCCGCGAGCGGAGCGGCGAGGCGGGGAGGGACGCGCTGCCGAGCCGGGGCTGGAGCGGCGCGGCGGTGGCGGCGGCAGTGGCGGGGGAGGGAGGGCTCCACGGACGGACGCACGAACCGATCGAGCGAGGGAGGGAGAGAGCGAGACTTCGCCGGCGAAGAGGAGCCGCGCAAGCGGCGGCTGCTGGGCGCTTCCCCGCGCGGCTGGGCGCTCGGCGCCTCCGCGGCCCCCGGTTCCCGGCCGCAGCTCCCTCGCGCGCGCGGAGCGCGGGGCCCGGGCTTGCTTCACCGAAGGTAAGAGGGACGCGACCGAGCCTTCTGGAGCCAGGAAGTGCGAGGAGCGCTGCTCCCACGCCTGTTGCTCCGGCTGCCCACGCGGCACCCTCCCACTCCCGCGCCTGGGTAGGTGGGCGCCGGGGCGCCGGAAAGATTGGGGGTGGGGCGCGTGCCTTGGGGGAGCAGGCAGCCGGCCCGGGGGCGTCGGTTCCCTCGGGCTGTGGAGCCACCTCCGGGCAGCTAGGCGCTGTGAGGTTTGGGGGTGGGGTGTGAACCTCTGCCCTCTTTCCATTGGCCTGCCTTCCCCCGGCGGGTGCCGGAGACAGGTGGCGAAGGCTTGCTGGGTCCCGGCTCTGCGTGAGAGGAGAAGGAGACAAATGGCTAAGAGTGGAAACCAGAAGCGGTTTGGGGCGCTTCGCAAAGTTCTCTGGCCCGGTGAGCCGTCGCTGTGCCTTCTAAAGGCTGGGGGTCAGTTCGTCTGGTACTGCCCGACGCCGCTTCCAGCCTGCGAGCTCTGAGAAAGGTCTTTACGTTACAACAAGGGCCATTGCTGTCCCGGGGAGGGGAGTTCAAAAGATTCACTTTGGAAGTGTTTACACTGGGGGTGGGGAACGGAAGGGGCTGGGCAGAGAAGTTACCTGGAATCAACTAAATTCCTGGGCTTACTTAGTGTTGACATTTGAATCAGGTCCAAAATGTTCTGCTTTTATCTCAGGCAGCTCTGATATATTAGCAACAGGCAGAGGTTCCAGACCTGGAATTCTTACAGCAAGGAAAAGCTTCAGTGTATTTAAGAGAAAGCGTCTAAACTTTCTCCGGGTCCTAGGCACAGTGCGATCTGCTTGTAAGACCAGACAAGCGTTGCTGTAATTTTGCATGAATGTACGTGATGCTTAAATTTATACCTTGTTTACTGTTACTTCAAGGGAACCTGAATGTTTAATGTCTGTCGAAAGGGCTCCTGGGCGTGCACGAATTCAGTACAAAGCATGTGTACATCTCCCCATGTGGACATGTTGGCACACGGAAGGGAATTGATGTGTTTGTTTTTCCTTGTCGCTACTTGAATGCAACAAACTGCAAGTACACAAGGGACCCCCAGAGGAAGAAAGATTAGCAGCTTGTTCCCTTTTGCTGTTGAGGAGGCTGGAGAAAAAAAAGAGTTCAGGAAAGTGCCCTGGCCAGCCTAAGAGTGGCACTGTCAGAGAAGAGGATCCATATGTAGGTTCCAGGCCTGTGCCCCAAGGATCCCCAGCCTGGTCAGTTTCGTTCCTACTTACCCAAAACTGTGAGCACAGCAGCAACCCTCTGGCTGATGGACACACTCCCCTGTTCCTGGACTGGCTCCATTCTGGACTAAGGGACATGATGTAAGATTGTGGAAAGTAAGTTTCCAGAGACTGTCCACTGAGGTCATTGAAAGGCAGGCTGGTGACATGGTATTTTTGCTACCTTGTGCCTATCCTCAGCTAGGTATCAACCCCCAGGACAGGCTATCTGGTCGTTCTGCCCACTTTTGGCCCTCTACCTCCAAAACAGAAACTGCTTAATGGGGCAGCTGACTTTTTAGATCGGGGGGGGGGGGAATGTATTTCCCTTTCCAGGATTTTCTACCTTTTTCATTTTCAGAGATCACCTGTTTTAAATCTTTCTTTTCCAGCCTGCCCCCCCCTTCCCACTGTCAAACTCTTCTGCCAAAAACAAAAATAGCTTCAGATTTTTCATTTGTAAGGCGTCCACGTCCTAGTAAAACCTTGGCATTTGAGGCATGTGCAGTGCCATTGGCTGGAAATGGGGCCGCTCTGTTGTGCCTGTTGTAAGAATTCATACCCTGGCCGGCTCCAGGAGGTGAGTGCTGTGGGATGAGCCATGGAGAAGCCCTAGATGAGCCGGGTGGTACCTGCAGCATTGTGTGTCAGGTACAGCCAGTATGGCCTTGGGCATGATATCTGGAAGTACACTTGTCCTTCCCTTACAAAGGCGTGTTTATATGTACATGGAGAGAAAGAAAAAGAGAGAGGGAGAGAAAGAAAAAGAGAGAGGGAGGGAAGGAAAAAGAGAAAGAGAGAGAAGATGTAGCAGTGGGGTAATTGCTCCTTTTTTAGTACTTCTTACTGGAGGGATAGATTCTGAGTCTCTAACTCAGTCTGGTGTTTGCCTGGCCTTCTTTAAGAAGATTATCCTGGTTCTTAAGGAATGGGGTAAAGGTTTGGCCTTGGGACCAGTGGCTTTTATGATATATAGGGAGGGGTTAATTTTTCCTTCCCCTGAACTCTGAACTGTTCATCTGAAAACAGTTTTAAAATATTCATGGAGGAGAGGAGATTGGTGTTGGGTAGAGAGGTAGCATGACAGGGTTCAGCTTGGCAGGGGCAGGTACTTGGCATTAGGGCGTGAAGTTAGGGTGGAATAGCACTGGGAGAATGGAAGGGGTGGCATTTTCTCAGAGGGTAGAGCTGTATGTCTGGCCAAGCAGGGTTACACAGGGTACCTTCTGATTCGGTGGTCTCTTACTCTCTTCCAATTGGACCCCCTCAATGTCCTGCCTCTCTGACCTTCATTCTGGGATAAAGCAGGGATGTTAAGGGTCAGAAGTCCAAGGCTGAGGGTTTGGGAGCCTGATGCCCTTTACTCTCCGGGAGCGTAGCAGGGGGTGTTAGGGGTGGTCTAGGCCTTAGATCGGCTTAGGTTCTGAGTAATGCAAGTTGCATGCCCAGTCTTATCAAGAATTCCCAGAACTCCCTTTGCTATGATGAGGCTCTGGTTAACTCCATCCTCACAGCAACAAGCCCAGATTCTCTGCTTCTCTCTTTGCATGGACAAGTGTGATGAAGAGGTCACAGTGAGACTTGAGCTATAGCCTTGATGTCCTGGATCTAGAAAAATCAGGGATTATTTGAACCAAATGGTCCCTTGTCACTTTCTTATCCAATTCTGTCATTTTATAGATGAAGAGACTCTGAGGCCCACAGGGTGACAGTGTCTTGCTTTCACAAATTCAGGATAGAATTGAAACTGGAATGCAAGGCCTCACGAGCCCTTGCTCTTTGCTGCCTGGGGAAGGCAGGGAGGAGCGTCTCCCATCCTGCTGTCTTCTGCGGGGAACATCAGCATTTGGCTACACCTAAATCAGGAAAGACATTTGGCAGTGAGTAGATGGATGGTCTATTTGAAAATTGTCAAATCCCATATATATGTGAAAATTAGCCACTTCGAGGGCAACTTTTTGAGACTCAGTCTCCTACCTCTACTCTGTGGGCAGAAATGACTACAGTGCAGAATTTTTGTGGGAATAAATTAAATGTTGTGATACAAGTACCTAGGACAGTGTCCAGAGCATTGTCAGTGATCTATCAGTGTTAACTAAGTCTGGATTGGAATAATCTGTGATCAGGGTTTAAATTGTGGGCTTGCTTCTCAAATATCCCTTGCCCCTTAGAAAACTAGCTAAGTATATGCTAAGGAACTACAAAGTTTCCTAATCCTAAAGAAAGTATAGTTAGTTAAAGGATAAATTCATTGAAGAAGGACAACGTGCCAGATGTATTCCTGAATCTTCTGTCAGCAGCAGGTGGATTACCCACTGCCATGGATGAATGATCCCCATTCTTTCTTTAGCTCCCTCAGTTCCCATAATAAAGTGTTCATCAAGTTTGTACTATTTTTCTATCCTCTGAGTGGTGACACTTAGGGAATTGTCATTGTCATTCCTATTGTCTTTAGTAGTGTCTGAACCAATCTCCCTTTATTAAGAAGCAGAGGGATCTGGGAAAATTCTCCATAACACGCATATGGGGAAACTGAGGTAGAGATTGGCCCCTTGAAAAAAACCTGACTGAGCATACATCAAATCCGAGACAGGCACTAGAATTGGATTCTTTAGATTCTGATCCTTCTTCCAAATTTACTGCTTGGAGAGAGAACACCTATCCTTAACAACTCCTGAAATGTTATACATTAGAAAGGCATGGAGTAAAATTGATGGAATACAAGTGTTGTCTATAAAACCAAGGTTCTCAGCTTGAGTACCTACCGGTGCAGTGCACTGTGCTACCTTCCGGTTGCGATATGAAAGTTGAGGCATCATGGCCTTCCCCTTGAAGATCTTAGCGTGGGATAGGGGAACGGGAGAAGTGGCTGTACCCATGAACTCTACATTGAGACTGCCTGGGTTTAAATTGTTCTGCCTACTTATAACATCCTTTAGATAATAATTATAACTTTGTGTGTTTCAACTTTCTTTTGTAGGCAAAATGAGGCCTACAGTGGTATCTGCCCTACAGGGTTGCTGGTGGGATCAGTTGAGACGATCCACATAAGCTTGTGGTACTATGCCTAGCTCAAGTCAGTGGTCAGCCAAGTGGCTCAGGTGGACTTCCTGTTCTACACTTTGGGGTTATCAGACTGCTACATTTCAGTAAGCTTTAGCTTCCTTATTTATAGTATGGGAGACACGGTAGGTCCTTCCTGGGGTTGCTGTGAGGATTAAATGAGATATGTCACTGGAGATAGTCTAGTGCCATGCATAGAGTCAATGCTCAATTATCGTTAGCCATTATTACTAATAAGGCAAGTATGCAAGTATCTGTAATACTGGCTTGGAGGGCGTACGTGCTAGAGAAGAGTACGGAACAAAGTGCTGAGCATGCAAAGGAAGGGGAGAATTTCCTAGTGGGGAGAGGGGGGACATCACAAAGAGTGATGACTGGCTCTAACAGGAGGGGTGAAGGGGTTGGCTATTCCCATCAGCCGGAGGAGTGGTCCAGAGACAGACTCCCCCAGGGTCTTGCTAGGATGGGTGTTTGGACCACTGGACTGGAATTTGAAACCAGGATCTATTTGTGGAAATGCTGGAATGCTGGGTCAAAGAGTTTGGACTTTATTTTGTATGCCGTGGGATAAAACACAGGTAGAATCTTGCTTTAGGGTGTTTACTCTGAACACAGTGCATTTTAGGGGAACAAGAGTAAGGGGGTGACAGTGAGAGTGACTCTGGGTCTTCATGATAGCTACTGTCATTGGGTAGCTCCTCTTCATTAAGAGCAACAGTCTCATTATTCAGCAACTTTTTGAAGAAAGATCGTCAAGGTGCGGGGCCTGTGGTTAGGGGTGCCATGAGCAAAAGATAAGCAGCTTTTCGTAAGAAGGCAGGTCCTGTTTAAACTTGTCCAGCTTTAGAGGCAACTGAGTAGGAAAGTCCAGTGGCAGCTCCGGAGTGAGAGGAGGTAGAGCTCTGAACAGCTTACAAGAGCTGGAAGTCAGGAAAAGATGAGGCAGGTTTACAGACAGAAATGAAGATCAAATCCCACTACAAGTCTTTGTGTAACAGCAAAAGAATTTCCCTCCAAATGCTCACCTCTGCCTTGTTTACTTAAACCTAAGTGTTGAAACAACCGAATCCCATAGGGTCTAAATAATTCGGAGTTAGGATTTGTTCTGTGTGATCAGTTTAGGATCAGTGGAGATGAATGTGCCAACCCCAAGCAATTTCCCATCGCTGTTACGTGTGTTTCTGTGTCACCACATGCCTTCCCACAGATGGTATACATTTGGGGACTGCAGAGTCATTTCACTATCATCTTTAAAAAGCCAGATTTGGGAAGGTAAATCTGTTTCCCAAAGCCAAATATAATTCTCCATGTCACTGTTCCCTCCATCCAGGCAGGTGATGGAGAACTGTGTACACGGTGTGGTTCAGAGAGGTGTGGGTGAAGGGACAAGGCGTCCCAGCTCTGGAAAAAATCTCTGAGGGTGGAATGGGGGCCAGGTGAGAGAGGCTGGCATGGGAAGGAGTATTGTTATGTAACCCGAGGGAAATATAGAGGGTGGGCAGATGGAGACAGGAGGCGAAGAATCTAGGGATGGCAGTGAACGCAAATCAGCTTCCTTTGAGGGAGAGGGACAAGGCATGAAAGTCAGGTGAACCAGAAAGCCAAGATGCCCTTCTCAGAGTGGGAAGAGAGACCTTGCTCAGCCTTACAACCATTCCCATATCTTTCCATCATGGTCCTGAGGGGTGAAATTGGACATCAGGCTGCTAAGGCAGGGAGTGGGATAGTGTCCCACAGAGTATCATTCCACCAGGGACAGCCTTCTCCATAGGAATTGAGGAGAGAGCTCCACCAGCCCTGGGCCCACCATGGTCACCTGCCATCTCAGAGAATCTTCTAGATGTGGGCAGCCCTAGCCTCCTCCTCACCAGGGAGGAGTAGAAACAACGTGTGTACCTGATCTCCTGCATCTACACCCCATTGCTGATTACCCTGGTGGGTGAAGAGTGAAATAAAAATTAGCATGTTTATCCCACTTTTAAATTCGTTTAATGAGAACTCATTTACCCTCTCCCAATTTAAATTCATAATAACGCCATAACCTTTCAGAGCTGATTATTACCCGAGTCTTCCCAGATCTTCCTGCTAAAAGAGGCCTTCCCTCCAAATGCTCCTGAGCCCTCTTGGAACTTGACAGTTTGTCAGGCAGTCGGAAACATCTGGCCACCCCACCCTGCTGCACTGCCCGCCCTAGGAGCCTCCCCTACCAGGAGGACGGAAAAGCATCACGCCTATCTCTGCCGCGGTGATTTCAGTTTGCCTTGGAGAATTTTGCTGTTTTACTCACCAATGACCCCTTCCCTGTGTCCCATTTTACTTGTGAGTCAATGTAGGCTCACCTCTTTTCTCTGCTCTCTCCTCCCATCTCCCAGGGGTTGCTGAACTAACTCCAAGCTGGTGTGCAACGTGTCTGCACAGCTGCCGGCCCAGGAGCTGGAGTGGCCATGGCGGCCGGAGTTGCAGCCTGGCTGCCCTTTGCCCGGGCGGCGGCCATCGGGTGGATGCCGGTGGCCAACTGCCCCATGCCTCTGGCCCCGGCCGACAAAAACAAGCGGCAGGATGAACTAATTGTCCTCAACGTGAGCGGGAGGAGGTTCCAGACCTGGAGGACCACGCTGGAGCGCTACCCCGACACGCTGCTGGGCAGCACGGAGAAGGAGTTCTTCTTCAACGAGGACACCAAGGAGTACTTCTTCGACCGGGACCCCGAGGTGTTCCGCTGCGTGCTCAACTTCTACCGCACGGGAAAGCTGCACTACCCGCGCTACGAGTGCATCTCAGCCTACGACGACGAGCTGGCCTTCTACGGCATCCTCCCGGAGATCATTGGTGACTGCTGCTACGAGGAGTACAAAGACCGCAAGAGGGAGAACGCCGAGCGCCTCATGGACGACAACGACTCGGAAAACAACCAGGAGTCCATGCCCTCACTCAGCTTCCGCCAGACCATGTGGAGGGCCTTCGAGAACCCGCACACCAGCACCCTGGCCCTGGTCTTCTACTATGTGACTGGCTTCTTCATCGCCGTCTCGGTCATCACCAACGTGGTGGAGACGGTGCCCTGCGGCACGGTCCCGGGCAGCAAGGAGCTGCCGTGTGGGGAGCGCTACTCGGTGGCCTTCTTTTGCCTGGACACCGCCTGCGTCATGATCTTTACGGTGGAGTACCTGCTCCGGCTCTTTGCCGCGCCCAGCCGCTACCGCTTCATCCGCAGCGTGATGAGCATCATCGACGTGGTGGCCATCATGCCCTACTACATCGGCCTGGTCATGACCGACAACGAGGACGTGTCCGGGGCCTTTGTCACGCTCCGTGTCTTCCGCGTCTTCAGGATCTTCAAGTTCTCCCGCCACTCCCAGGGCTTGCGGATCCTGGGCTATACACTGAAGAGCTGTGCCTCTGAGCTCGGTTTCCTCCTCTTCTCCCTCACCATGGCCATCATCATCTTTGCCACTGTGATGTTTTATGCCGAGAAGGGCTCCTCGGCCAGCAAGTTCACGAGCATCCCTGCCTCTTTTTGGTACACCATTGTCACCATGACCACACTGGGGTAAGTCGGGTGCTGTTGGACTACACAAGGACAGAGGTTGGCTGGCCCAGGAAGCTTTTGGTGGTGTCAGGCTTGGGGACAGGAGGAGGGAGTCCTTCCCTTGGGTTGTGGGAGCACGGAGAGATGGAGCTTCTGACCTGAGGGGTCTGTGTGGAGGTGGTAGCTTGCTCAGAATTGAGTTTTCTGTTTTGAGGTGGGGCATGTGTTTTATAGAACTTGGAAAAACTAAATCACCACTTCTTATTTCAGCGTGGTGTTGTTTGTATGTAGATGCCTGGGGGAGGCGACCCCATGCTGGTAGTGTTGGTTTTTCCATAGCACTGTGTGTGCTTATGGGGAATGATAGCGGCATTCTTATGTGCATCTGGGCGTATAAGGGCTTCCACCTGGAGGTGGGCAGGACAGCAGGTGGGGATGAAGGGGGCTGGGGGAAGTTCCTCAAATGTTGGAAGGAGGGTTCAGATTTCCATTACCAGAGGACACCGACAGCATGCTTTTGGGATCCTTCCTACATTTCTTCTTTCTAGTATATTTGCAGGCTGTCTTCTCTTTTGCCTTACTTTGTTTTTCTGCTGCCACAGGTGCTCAAACTTCAGTAGCCCTGAGCAGACTTTCTGTGAGTGACTCCAAACTTGGGTTTTCTGCAAAGAGAGGCACCTGATTTGTTTTTTTCTCCCTAAAAGAGAAATAGTCCTGCTTTCTCAGCCTGAGTCAGTGATTGAATGACCCGGCCTGCCTGGGCTGCTGTGCGATGGTCTGAATGGATCATGTGGTCAGACGCAGAAGCAGCAATATCATCAGAGGGAGAGACAGGTGCTCTGTGAGGTCATGGTGACTCCGTCTCTTCCCTCTCTCTGAAGTCCCCTCTCCAGCGGAGGTCACCGAAATGTATTTATGGTGCCGGAATGTGAAGCTTTCCATCAGAGGAAGAGGCCCAGGAAGGAGATTACAGTCTACACCCTAACAGGATTAGAGCCAGTAAAGGCAGCTTTATGGAGACATAGATTTGTTAGGGGTTTCTGCTTTAGCTGCTGGAAGCCATTGAGGCTAATGCAAAATCTCTCCACAATTCATATGGTAGGTCTATATTTGCTTAGGTCGGGAAGTGTTATATTGCTGATGGAGAATTCATGAAGCTTTTTATTTGGTCTTTGACAATTCAGTTGGTGGCATCCTGATGATTCGATTTTTCTCCTGGCTGAAACCCCATGCTGGTAGTGTTGGTTTTTCCATAGCACTGCGTGTGCTTATGAGGAATTACCAAGTAGGTGACAGGACCTTTAAGAATGATTACATTTGTCATTCTGCCACACACGAGAGGGAGGGAGTAGCAGGGGGAGAGCAAGGGTGTCTTCATCCCTTTGTGAGGGCCACATTTAATAGGGGCATTCCCTTTACTTCTTGTCTGACAGACCCATCCTGCCACTTCCTCACACTCCAGTGGGCGTGCACACACACATTTCAAATAGGTGCTCCCGCAGAGTGGGGAAGAATGTTTGGTATTCGACCTTACATCTCTTGGCTTAGGTGGCAGATGTGAGCTTTTTGGCATAATGTGCTAAACTTGGTTGGGGAGCTGGTTGCTGTCAGGAGGAGTCATCTTTATCCCTTCTAAATTGACCCTGGCCATTCCTTTCACCTTCCTGAAGAGGACCTCGCCCATGGCCAGGTGCTACACCCGTACTGCTTCTCAAGCTCTTGATGTGGTTCTGACTGCCTGGTGTCCTCAGGGATGCTGTGGGGGTGCCATGGGGAGAAAGACAGGGCCTGTTGGTGGGTATCAGAGTTCAAATGGGATTCTTCAATGGAGATCAATGGCAACTTCACTGGTCACCCGCCTGTCAACATTTTATTAGTAGTATAATAGCATATGATTGTCTACTATGTGTCAGCTGGTGCTAAGCACTTTGCATACATTATTTCTCTAAGTCTTCACAATGGCCATTCAAGGTAAGAAAAATTCTATCCCCTATTAAGATGCAGAAGGAGAGGCTCAGAGAAATTAAGGAAATTCCTGTAGTTACATAACCAATACCAGTCTGGCTGTCTCGAGTGCCCTTTCTTCTTTCACGTTACTGCTCCATTTGTCCCCATGCCATCAGAGTCCCTAGGTAGAAATCGGACCTTCAGGACTATTATTTTTTATTATGGCCTCAGGGTATGATATTCTATTCTAGCCATATTGCTAATCAAGAAAGCATCATCCCAGTGAGGATTATATGCCAGGCACTGTACTAGGTACCCAGAGATTTTATAAATAAAACATTTCCTTCTAGGCAATTTAAATATTGCCTTAGAAATTAATGGCTGCTTTCATAGCAAAGTCTAATGTTTTACTGCTGCTGGGGAAATTGCTGATATCCTGGCATTCACCCTATGGGTCAAGGGTCAAGTCCAGCATCGGGAGTGGACAATCTTGGCTTCATATTTGCTTTCTTAGGGTTGGAGATGGAGACAGCATCTGCCAGAGAATGAAGGGAAGGATGTCTGCACTGGGGAGAGGCATGCTTTCCTGACAGAGGGCCCAGTGGACTTCCTCACCCCATACCTGACAAAGAACAAGTTTGTTTTACGTTCTCCATGTGTTAAAATGACTGGCCCCTGCAAGGAGAATCAAATGGGCAAGAAAGGAAACCTTTAGCAGAGCCTTCCTTAAACTATATAAGCAATGAGAAAGCAGCCTGTTTCTTTCCCTTCACCCTGGCTGATATAGTTCATTGTTGGGTCAAACTACTTTGACTTTGACCTGAGCTGGTTGGCAATTGGCACCATTACCAGGCTGGTTGCTTGGCTGTACATGGCAGGTGCCTGGAAGAATGCTTTTTAATGGATGAGCCAGTACGAACGGGGGACCTTCTCCATTTGCCTGGCTTGATATTGTTCTCAATCCCTTCTTGAACTACCTGTCATCTTTTGAGGGTAGATTCAAGGTTTGAGCCTGCAGCCCCTGCACTATGTGTGCTCTGCCCCAGTGTGAAGTCCCCAGGAGGTAGGAGAGAAGTCTTTACTTGGTGTTAGATTAATCCCCTGTTCTGCTCTATAGGACTCTGGGGATCTTCTTGTCCTTACTGGAGGTCTTGCTGACTCAACCCCGGGAACCATTCCCTCTCCTCTGGCTAGTGTCTGTACTGACCACATATACTGGCTAGGTATAGCCTTGCCCAACCATTCCAGAAAGCCCATCTTTTTCATACTCTACACTGGTTTGAACCCTAAGTGGCCATGAGATACTAAGGACCAATATTCTGTCTGCCATGGCCCAGTTCCTTCCAACAGCTCCCACCAGACACCTCCCTCTTCTTTTGTCCATACCTTTTCGACCCTGTTCCTTCCCCAAGTTCTGTCTCCAGTCTGGAGAAGGACTGTCTTAAGCTCCTTTGCAAGGCAGGGATGGATACATGCTGAGAGCCGATATGCTAAGTGAAGGCGTTCACTCTTCCTGGCTCAGTTTGCCATCTCCACCTGCTTTTCCAACACCTCACTGATGAGTTACTCACGTGTCCTCCAGGGAGGGATCTCCTGCAGCCAATTATTAGTGTTTATTTAATATCTCAAAATACTTTAAGCACAAAAGAACAATAACAGCCCACCTGCTGTCAGGGCTTGAGGATGGCTTTCCTTTGTAGCCTCCTGTGATGGTGGGGAAGACCCCCCTCACTCTGCCCAGATATCCCCTTGAGCCACCTTGACAGTTGAGTTCCCTAAGGCACCATCCAAGGATTAATTTCCGTCCTCATACTTGATGCTATAAATAAAATAAAACCCCAATTATCTCAGTTAATGGAGGTAAAGGATAACATACAACTCCTAATATTAAATAAGACCAACGTAACTAGTTTGGGGATGTATCATGTGATGTAAACTTTTTCAAAGCGGATTTTTCTTAATTTTATTTAGCTTTGCTTGGCATCATTATTGGCCTGGATGGCCTGAGCCAGTTAGTGGGGGAAGCTCGATGGGGTCATGGGGGAGAGAGAAGCATGCAGGAGAAAAGTCTTGTAACCACGCGTCCACAAGGGCTGTGGAGGACCAGCTTCGGGCCTGCATGGGATGAGGCTGCTCTTGGGTATCTTAGGGAAGGAGCAGTGTCGGTGCCTAATGAGATAGCCCACTGCTGCTGGTTGGCTCGGTTATGTAATTGAGACCGGCAGCCTATCTGTCACCCTGTGCTCTGAGATGAGAGAGCTTTTGACAGTGTCCAAAAATCACTTTAACGAAAACAGAATTGATTTTTCCTTCTTCCAAGCACAAAGCCGCCTCCAGGTGATTTGCATTTCCCTTTAAGATATAATCCTGGAAGGGGCCTGCCTGAGGTTCCAGGAGGCCAAGGCCAGGAGACTGGGCCTGGAAGATGCATACAGGCACCCATGGAGTGGGGTACTTGACCAGGCTCTCCCCAGTGTCAGAGAAGAGCCAGCCTGAGATCTATTCTGTTAACCCTTCAATCCCTGATGTTCTGCCTGCACCTTTACCCCCTGCCTCTGCGGCCCATTGTCCTTCCTCTCAGTGCCCAAGTGCCTTGGCCCTGGACCTTGGTTAACAGTTGGGACTCTGGTCCTAGGAGACAAGTGGATCTTTACTGGAAACAAACTTATTGGAAACAAATGACCTCAAAATCTTTCTTGGTTGACATTTCTTAACTGACAGTCCTCGGAGGCTGAAATTCCTAAGAGGGCACAGAACTGCATCCCAACAGTAATCTTTCATTTGTTCAATAGTTATTGAATGCCTTCTGTATCCAAGTGGCAGGCCAGGCTCTGGGAATACATAGGCACTATGGTTACAGCCAATGTGAGGTACAGGCAGAATGAACTGAATGAGACTCAGTTTTCTTTCATTGAACTCAAACACTCTTCCTGATATTTCACAGACTGCCCCTTACTCTGCTCCTGTGTTTGGCTGACTCCTGTCATCCTTTAAACTCAGCCCTACAAAACAAAAAACAAAAAAACAAAAAAAAACCCCTCAGCCCTATACCTCCTCTTCCAGGAGGCCCTCCT